ATCTTTAAACTTGAAAGGGCCAAGCAATCAATGCTACCAACTATCAAGACATGTTCCATTTTTGTAATCTCAAAATGTTACCGATCAATCCGTATTCGTCCTTAAACTTAAGAGGATTGAAGAATCAACGATCCGAGTTCTTTTGTCACCCCCATAGATGGCTATTCCATATCCGAGTCTCGAGTGTCATTTTATTTTTTTCTTTACCTATTATTCATATCTAGTGTTTGTTGCCTTTTGCTTGAACGGAAATATAGGTCGATCCGCTAAAACTACACTTCTTTCACGCATTCACCACACTAGGGTGAGAACGAGAATGGAGAATGAAGAAAGAGCTTTACTCAAGAAAAATCACCAACGAGAGATGGAAACACTAAAGGAAGAGATTGCTAGGCTTACTCGCTCCGGTGGAATGAAGTCGGCAAAATTGCATGATAACGAAGTTACCATCCGAGAAGTCGGTCGACCATCGGCATCCCTGAAGTGTTCACTACCATGGCACCACTAATCACTCAGAATGCTCGCTTTGACACCACCGTTTAGCATGCCCCATATAGAGCCTACTCGTTACTACTAACCATGCCCATCATCGGATTCCATGAGGGGCATACGATTTTACCTCTCGCCTTATTGGACCTACCTTAGCGTTGCCTCGGGCCGGCCAAGCATCGATGATAGCTACTCTCGATTTCATTGCTGAAGAATTAGCCAAGGAGAAGTTAGCCTCAGGATTGGAGGCGAAGAATCTCATAGCCATTGAGGAGCGTTTGCAAGCTATTAAAGGTACGGACATATACAATCCGCTCCTCGACATCGATAAGTGTTTAATGCCGAATGTGATGATTCCTAAGAAGTTCAAGGTACCCGAGTTTACCAAGTACACCGGGAGTCGGTGCCTGAGAACCCACTTAAGGATTTATCCGAATAAGATGGCCGAGGTGGCATATGATGAAAAGCTGTTGATCCACTTCTTTCCTAAGAGCCTCGACGGGTTTACCCTCAACTAGTTTATTGACTCGGATCAAACCAAGATCCAAAAGTGAAGGTATTTAGTGGATGTGTTCATGAGGCAATACAAGTTTAACTTGGAGATAACCCTCAATATATCAAGCTTATAGGCTATGGAAAAGGGCTCGAAAGAATCGGTTAGGGAGTATGCTCAAAGATGGAGAGAAATAGCCTCTCGCATTCGTTTGCCCCTTCGAAAAGAGAGTTGGTTACTTGTCTTTATTAACACTTTTAAGGCTCCATACTATGATTATTTGCTAAGTAACGAGTCAAATAATTTTGTTGAAATAGTATCTGCAGCTCGATCGAATCGAATAAGCTATCAAGTCGGGAAGGATAACCGACCCTTCGAATTTGGACATAAGAAAAGTAACTTTGGCGGGAGGAGAGTCTCGGAGGTGCACCGGATTAAGGACTCTTCCGGCAATAGAAGGAGATGGAATAACTCGTGGGGGAATGGTAACCAATACACCTCCCATAATATAGCTAACCCAAATGCTCGGTTTGGAATCCCAACGAAACACCTTCCCAACTAATGTAGTTGGACCGACGACCCAAACACCAACCTTCCCACCATATCAAATGCCATACAACCCTTACCAAACCACCCAAACACACGTCCGACCCCAACGATCACCTCAAACACACTACCAAAACCCATAATTCATCAACCAATTAAGTTTGGCCAATCAAAACTCTCTAAGGAATATTGATAGGAGCCAATTCGATGACGTATTGTCGTCACTTCCCATATCTATTGGCAATCTCTTTGGGCATTTGGTAACCGTTGGTCCGATAGCTCCTATGACACTCGCACCACTCCAGCCGTCATTCCCTCATTGGTATAAGCCTAATGAAGTTTGTGCATACCATAGTGGTGCCAAGGGTCATATTATTGAGAACTATGTGAGCTTTAAGAAAAGAGTGCTAAATTTGATTGATCAAGGTCTAATTGCATTTGAAGATTCCTCAAATCCCATAAACACTAATTCCTATCCTTTGCCAAATCATGCCACTACTTGGGGAGTAAATATGCTATCATTGGATAACATAAAATCGACCAAGGGAGGAGCTGAGTAGTTGGTTTGATGAAGAAGCGCTTATTGTTTTCAAGACTGAGTGATTCTTTTATTATGATTATTTTTGCCTTTTTTTCATTGTGTTGAACTCTTGATCATGCTTTCATAATGATGTTATTTTATGGGATCGTTCAAACTTTTTCCATCTCTCGCATGCTTCTTTCCATTCATCTTATTTGCATTCTCTCTTTGGGACATCCAATATGATCATATCCTAAAACTACCAAATGGTTGTGCTAAAAACTATTGGCCTAACTCGATGACATTGGACAAAGAAAAGGTGATGTGATTTTCATGGATTAAGCCATTTCTTTGAATAAAAAGAAATTTCGCTATCGTAGCATGATTTATTATTAATTTGAAACCAAGAGATGTTTATTTGAAAGTATCATTTGTCATTTTATGCCATCCAAGTCGGAGGAAATAAAATAATGAATGCATTCAATATATTTCAAAAGTGGTCAATTTTCAAAACATGTCATGTAAATGCCGAGGGTAATTTCTTTTCTTCAAAATCGAAAATATCTTTTCTCTAAGAGCTTTTTCAAAATAGCCTTGCCTAAGATAATATAATGACGCCTTAAACAAGAAGCAAGTGATTTGACATCTTAAATGATGATAAGTGGTACACACTCGAGTCATGGTACCATTTGATCAATCGTTTTTCATGAAACTAAAGCCTACCAACTTGAGCAAGTCAAATTAGAGATGAAGAAAGGCTATTTTTGATATATCTTTCACAAATAAATTTTACCCTTCATCGTCCCATTTTGAGCCTTTGATAATTTCTTTTGATAATAACCCGGATCGGGATCACCCCTCACATTGGGAGCAATTTAAAGGTGTAGGAAATCGATGATGTTCTTCTAAAAAGTTGAGATTTGGTTCATAAGAAATGAGAATAACCTTAACATTATTCTAGAACAAAAAAAAAACAAAAAAAGATGGTGACACTAAATGAAAAAAGTGTTATCTAAGTAGCCCCTATCATGATTTAGAGCTAGAAAAGGTTGTGAAATCCAAAAAATGATATGAGTGAATATGAGAAGGAGAATTGAGATCGGAAAATGAGATCATCCATTAAAATGTCAAAGTCGGTATGGCCAAGCCTAAAATAATTTTGATGAGTGATCACATGATCCCGAGTCTTTATACCCCCAAACACCTTTTAAGTTTTTTTTATATCCTTTTGTTCATAAGCCAAAGCTTTAGCCTACATTACATGCCTCCAAAAGCCCTTTCGATCGAGGATGGCTTGCATTGTGTTAATGAGTTTTAACTTCAAAAAAAATATATATAGAGAGAGAGAAATCGCTTGTGCATAACAAATTATCATTCAGTGGTATTGGACTATTAGTTTTTCATTAAAAACTTAAGGGCAAGGAACAAACAAAATCAAGGCCTTTCTAAACAAATACCGACTTGAGCTTAATTTTCTCGAAAAAGCCTTTGAGTCCGTAAAACTGTTTGAGCCTACCTTTTTTTGAAAAAAAGCCTTTAAGCCCATGACATCCATTCGAATATCTCATTTTCTTTGAGGTAACTTTTGACACTTGTCTTTCCAAAAAGATTTCTTTCTAAGCCTTTGATGTGATCTAAATACATTCCAGATCACTTAGCCTAAAAAGGATCACCTTGAGGATTGCATCACGACATTTGCATGATGTGTTTTGACTTTCAACCAAATGAATGAAATAGTTTCTTGAATGAGACTACATTCTTGTAAACATCTCTGTGATTTCTTTTGAATAATTAAACTTGTTTTGATGGAAGTTGTTTGGATATACGACTTAATTCATAAAAGTCAAAATTAACAAAAGTGGAGTCTTCTATAAAAAATCAAAAATCAAAAATCAAAAATCAAAAATCAAAACCAAACCAAGTCGATATCTTTTTATCCAGAGCAACAAAGAAATCATTTGAGTTATGGCCAAAATTCATTAGGACAATCATTTCAACTTTGCTTGTCTCATTCTTGCTTTACCAAACATGACATAATTTGCCCTTTTTATCTTTCAAAATAGCCCAATTTCCACATATCCGATCAGCCCTTACAAAGCCTTTTCTTTGGTCAAACGCACAATCCTATGATTGACATTATTTATGAAATGTAATGACACAACAAATCGATAAGTGATAACTTGATAAGAGTCTTGCTCGAGCTTGGTAGACAAGAAGGCTTTCTTTGTGAAACCGAGCATAAGGTCTTTCCCGATGGATTAAGAAGACAACGATGAAAATAATCTCCATGATTTACGGTTTAAGATCTTCGATCCGTGCTGACAAAAACCCAAACACTTGGGGGGCAATACTATGGGAGAGTGAGAGAGTAAAAAACTGCTTGCCTAACCATAAGAGCAAATGTCACTCAAACGACGTGAACAATAGCACGGTCGAACCTAAAGAAAAAGGGGACATAATCCGAGAACATGTGATTAAATAGAGAAAATTCCACAAGAGCGACCGACCTAGAAATCACGAACCTAACCCGGTGAAGATAGATCGCGACCGGGAAGGAAGTGTATTTTTTGGTAGTAACAATTTTTGCATTTCAAGTACATCGCTCATGCTCGTTGCATTTCCAAAGGGGAATCGCATGTTCAACCACGTCAACTCTGTGTTCGGAGAAGGCCTTTGAATTGACTTTGCCAATTAATTGAAGCCCTTCTATGATTTCTTTACAAGCTCACTATACAAATCCAAAGAAAAGTCAAATTTTCAATGGCTTCGCGTCGTAAGCATTATAAAGAGAGGGCAACCGTTAGCACCCAATTTTGGGTTTCAAAAAAAGAAGAAAGAGGAAAAAAAGAGAAGAGAAAAAGGAAGAAAGAAAAAATATACTTTTTTCTTCCAAAAAACACTAGCTACTTGTTCACCCATTTGAAGAAAAACCCTAGCCAACTACTCTCATCACTATAGCCACCCAAAACGCCCACCACCCTCGGCCTCTCTCGCCAACGAACCACGGTTGTAGAACCGACCAAGACGCGGCGGCTCCCCACAGAGCACGCGACCACCTACCATAGTAGCTCCCCTCCCCTGCAAGCCTTCACGCCCGCGAGCACGCAGCCCCTCGCCAACACCCACACGTCCCCCGCCTCGCCTCCTCGCTCGCATAGCTCCGGTTTACAACGGTAAGCCACGCCTAACACTAGCCTCGCCTATCACTTGCCTCGCATGCTTACACACCAACCTCGCCCGGCCGCCACGCCAAAGCACGCCAGCCTAGCCCAATGCGCGCCCGTGTTTGCCGGCGCCAATGCCAACGTCCACGGCGTCGAGCACCTAGGCCCGGCACCCGGCGCCAATGCTAGTGCCCCACGTGCGCCAACACCAATGTTGAGTGCCTAACGTCGAGTGCCCGAGCCAACTAGCGTCTAGCACACGCCAACACCAACGCCGAGCGCCTAGCGCCAAATGCCCAAGCCCGAGTGCCCGGCACCGAGCTCCCAAGCCAACCAACGTTAGTGCCGGCGCCCAACGCACTCCGGCGCCTAACGCCCGGTGCCCAAGCCCGGCGCGGCGCCTAGCATCCAACGACTAGCACCCAACGTGTGCCGAGCCGGTCGGCTAGCCACCGGCGCCAACGGCCCGCCTCGCCCGACCAAGCACCTCCCCAACGCACCAACAACCACCTTTCCTCCCCGATTAACTAAGTATTAGTCTCCATCGTGGTCAAAAAGGTCGGATCCGACCTCGAGAGCATCAAGCAAATCAGCTCTTCTTTTTTCTTCTTTACGAGTAATTTTTATACTCTTTTTTGCTTTATCTTCTTTTATTTTATTTTACTTATTTTATATTTTTTACATGTATTAAATTTGCTTCATGTTATATATGTCATGTAATTAATTGAATGAATGTGATGTAATTTGATCTATTTATTCATGTGTAATCCGTTTGAATTACAATGATGTGTACTTTTGATTTTTTTAATGATATGAAGGAATGATGTGTTGATTTAAACGTGTTGATATTCGAACACATATTTTAAAATCGTGTCTTGCATGATAACTTGTATAAAAAATTGAGTTATTAAAGTTTGAAAAGTTGTCATGTAATTTCGTTTTTGTTAAGCATGCTAAAGTAATTAATTTTATTGATTTTTGTGTGTTTTCTCTTATTTTGGTCTCATTGTCAATTCTCGTCAATTTTTGCTTATATGTGTTCGTTTTGTTGATTTTATCCTATTTTTGCTAAAGTCGCCAATTTGCGATTTCGTTGCCCATTTTGGCCAAAGCCGTTGCTTTGTTTTTCGTTGTCGATTTTGTTTTTTGTTGTCAATTTTGGCTTATTATGGCTTTCATTTTCGTTGTTGATTTAGACCAAAGTCGTGGCTTTTCTTTTTCATTGTCGATTTTGACCAAAGCTTTGGCTTTCGTTTTTGTTGTCGATTGTAGTCGAAGCTCGTCGCTTTCGTTTTTGTTGTCAATGTTTACCTATTTTTGCCTAAGTTGTCAATTTTTACCCATTTTTGCCTATGTAGCCAATTTTAGCCTATTTTTGGCCTATGATTGCCTAAGTTTGCCTATTTCTGTCTATGATTGCCTACTTTGCCAAAGTTTGCCTATTTTTGCCTCGGTTGTCGATTTTTGCCTATGTAGCCGATTTTAGCCTATTTTTTCCTATGATTGCCTAAGTTTGCCTATTTCTGTCAATGATTACCTATTTTGCCTATTTGTCGATTTTTGTCTAATTGCCTATTTGCCTCTTTATTGATTTTGCCAATTTATGTGTTTGTCGATTTTTGCCTATTTGCCAATTTGCCTATTTCTATGTGTTGCCTATTCCGTAATTTTGTCTATCTTGTTTGTTTGTGTATTTGCCCATTTTAAGTTTTATTTCTCATGTATGTCGTTCGAGCCGCACTAGCATATCCCCATGCTCATCATTTTTAGCCATTTATTACACAGTGAGGATAAGTTCTTCGACCGATCGAGTCTCGAATCACTTGACAAAGGGGGTCTTTCATCGAACTCAAATTAAGGTTATATGCAATGCAACTTGCCTTAGGCAAGATGAGGTAGGATGACTTTTGGTCTTCTCTACACGTAATAAACCCCCGACCCGAACTCGAATAGACCAGTCATGAGGTTTCCTAGTAACCATAATACTAGGTGACGACTCCAATCATTTGCCATACATTTCACCTCACCGCTCGACATCGTCCTACGATAATTAATCACAAAGTTTTCATACAAAACATCATCTTTATAAAAAGAATAATGATTATTCTTAAATGAAAATGAAAAACCATTTTGGTCCAAATAAGAAATAGAAATCATGTTTCTTGTTATACTATGAATATAATAATAATTTCTTAATAAAGCATAACCCTAGATGACGAGTGATAACTTATAGGTGACTACAACTATTGGTACAACTCATGATCCATTGCTAACGTGCGAGTCAATCTCCCCGAACCAATCTTTCTTGATTCTTTAAGCCCCTACATATTTGTGCAAATGTGAGCACCATATCCAATATCAAATACCGATGGATAAGACTAGAAGTAGAAAAATTAACTTCAATAATATAAATACTTGAGATGCTTGTAGAACTTTTCTTTTACACCTATGCCAGGTACTCCTTGTAGTTACACTTCCAATGCTCTTTTTGTTGTAATGAAAGCAAACTACTTCCTTTTGGCTATTTTGAGCCTCGACCTTTTCATCCCTCCGTTAGGCACAATAGAAGGCTTGTTTTAGTGTTTGAGTTTTTTCTTTCTCTTCACCTTGCCTTTGCTCTTATTAACAAGAAGTACAAAACTCTTATTCTTCTTATTTATTTTAGGTTGAGCTTCCCTCAACATGGATTGTAACTTTTTAAGAGTCTTTTCCATATGTATCATATTGAAGTTTATGATGAACTATCCAAAGTCGTTAGGCAATGATTGTAATTACAAGTCAATAGATAATTCTAAATCCATTCCAACTTCAAGCTTAACTAGCTTGTCAATATAGCCTTTCATCTTAGTGACATGCTTTTTAACATTGGATCCTTCATCCATTCTAGCTCTAAAAAGTTTTTTTTTACTATCTCATAGAACTCATGTCTAGTATTTTTCTCAAATAAGATTTTATGTTTTGTTATGATATCAAAGACACTTATGCCTTTATGTTGGCACTAATGCTCTAATATTATAGCAACCAGCATGATGCTACGAGTAATGATTGCATCATCTCTACGTTTGAGTCATACTCGTATAAGCTTCAACTTGAGCTAAAGGAGGCTCATCTAGGAGATGTGTCTTTACTTGCGTAGAGAATTTTTTCATGTTAGGGGACTATCTTTAGATTCATTTCCCGATCAAGAAAGTTTATGCCATTGAAGGCATTACTTTTGCTAATTATTAATTGTATCAATATATTGTCAATCATATTGCATAATAACCTAATAGGATAAAAAAATGTAGGGTTTGGTTAATTCATTTGCATGTATAAAATAAAATATAAATTAGGAAGTAAAATCTATGTTCGCTCTCACTATTTTTTTCAAGCTCTAAAACCTTTAATATAGGACTCAAAAAAAAAATTCAATTCATTTTTCTTAATAGGTTAAGATCCCATCCACAAATATGCATTAATCTTAAGTTATCTCAATAAGTCATACATGAAAGAATTAGGTAGGTAACTCCTTACCATTTATATCTAATTCAATTACTTATTAGTATGACAACTTCTTGTCATCTCATATCTTATATGAATACCAATCTTTGCTTATGAATTCATTGGACCTCGAGCTATCTTAACAAATCCAATAATTCATTTCAAGTTAGATCTAAACATTTAGGGACATCGCATGGCCTATGATTTAATTCTTTCGAGGAATAAGTGACTTTAAGTTATCTTAATAAGTTATGACCAAAAAAGTTCTCTTCTTATAACATTGAAAGACATATAACTTGATAATTTAGTTGAAGTATTTTATATTATATGGTCTCATCATTTTAATATTATCATGCATATTATAATTTAATCATATTACTATCATGTATATTAGAATTTGATCACAATCATACATATTAGAGTTCAATCATATCAATCTTATATATGAGTTAAGGATCGGTGAATGGTAATGGATTTCTATTACTAGTTCCCTCAAGCACTAACATATGTAGACTACCGGGCACCGACCTAGCATCTTCTAGCTCGTCACACTTCCTCGCACACTTGATGAGGTGCTTGCCTAGCATATGTAAGGCACACCTAGCTTGCCACTACCCTAGCCCTAGCCTAGCATGCTCACTTATATCTAGCCTAGCCTTGCCTTGGCTTGGCATCCTCATGCATACCTAGCCTAGCCATTACCCTAGCGTCCATGAGGCATTCCCGGCCTAGCATGCACTACGACCAACGCTTAGCATTGGCCTCGTGAGCACCCTTCCACTTCCCAAAATGAATTTTTAAATGATTTATAAAATACCCAAATCAATAAATTTATAAACAGAAATCAATAATTTATGTAATTAATCAAAGTTAATAATAATGCAATTAAAGATTTAATGAGAGCTCTACTACCAATTGTAGGATCATGCATCCTATAGAGGTATGAAATAAATAAAAATTTTGTTTCTTCCATCTAAATTTTTTAGGATCAACCATTAAGCAGCAAGATGATTGGGGGTTACCTCTTATAGCATAGAAATCAATTTGCAAAAAGAACCATCTAAGTATCTAGTCTCTACTCGAAGCTCAACATAGCTTAAACACTTATATAAGAAGTAATAGAAATTATGCTTGTGCTAGCTTCAACTTTTCTATTTTGTATAATTTTCTCTCAAGAAATCACACTAAGGTTTTGCATACAAATACCGAGAGAGAGAGAGAGAGAGAGAGAGAGAGAGAGAGAGAGTTTACGTGTTTAATATTTTTTAGGGAGAGATGCACATTTTTCTTTTCTTTCTTATTGTCTTAGCCATCTATCTCTCCTTCTCTCTATTTATATGTGTGAAAAAACTCTTTTCTTAAGGAGTTGTAACTTAGTGAGGAGTAAAGAAATGTGATACGATAATCACCACTTGAGTAGTAGGTATCGATATAGTAGTGAACACCCTAGGGATGACGGATGACTAACCTATTCTTTGATTCAAAGGCATTTTAATAGGTATGCGGATTGAC